TACTGCCCTTGTCCAGTTTACTGCTTTTAGCATTTCTTCAATGTAGTAGTTATCTAACTTCCAGTGTGATGGACTAATAGGCTGCTCTAAGTGATAGGTTACAATTTCCCTCAATTTACCTTTAGATCTCATTAATTTATATTTTGTCTTGGTTTCTCTATACCATTCATTAAGGCTGGGTATAAGATTGTTATGTTTATATGATGTGAGTTGTTCTCTTACTGTATTTGGATAGTTTAATAATTGTTTTTCTTCAATTTCTACAATCCTATGATAATGTAGTGATTGGTATCGGTGTTCACTGGCTGTTTCCAGTATCAGCAGCAATGTTTGAGCAACTTTGAATCTTTGTACTTTCATATAAATGAACATTGTTTAAAGTAATATTAGTTAATTGCAATTTATCTATAGCGGACTACAGTAGTAGAATGTATCAATCCACTCACAAACAAAAACTTCTCAAAGGGTCTTGCTTATCTTTACAAATTTACAAGAAATTGGTAAATAATAAAAAGGACTTAAAAAATTAATGAATCAATAATAAGAGTTAAAATCATAACATACAACTTTAAATACTATGAAAATATATTAGAGATATTTTATGTTCTTAGAATTTCTAATCCTGAACAATATCTCTGCAAATTTCCAATTTCTCTAATTTGTTCTTCACTGAAGCTGCAGCCATACAATTCCAGATGTTTCAAAGTGTTTGATGACATTTGAAGCCCTTCACAAATATTCAAAAATCCATTTTTCATATTTAAATTTAGTGATAGATTAATAGTTTTAACTGTGGGACAATATTTCAGCAAATTTCCAATTTTTCTACTCTGTTCTTCATTTAAATTACAGCAATATAGTTCCAGATGTTTCAAAGTGTTTGATGACATTTGAAGTCCTTCACAAATATTAAAAAATCCATTTTGCATATTTTTATTCTGTGATAGATTGATTGTTTCAATTGCACAACAATATTTCAGCAAATTTCCAAACTCTAAGCTTTGTTCTTCATTTAAATCACAACCACACAATTCCAGATTTCTCAAGGTATATGATGACATTTGAAGACCATTACAAATATTCAAAAACCCACTTCCCATAGTATTATTCCATGATAGATGGATTGTTTCAATTGTGGGACAATGCTTCATAAACTTTCCAATCTCTATACTTTGTTCTTTATTCAACTCACACCAATCTAAATGAATATACTTTAAAGTGTTTAATGACATTTGAAGTCCTTCACAAATATTCAGAAATGCATTTCCAATTTTTTTATTCTGAGATAGATTGATTTCTTCAATTGTGGAACAACACTTTATAAAATTTCTAATCACTGTACTTTGTTCTTCATTTAAATCACAATTACATAATTTCAAGAATTTCAAAGTGTGTGAAGACATTTGAAGTCCTTCACAAATATTAAAAAATCCATTTTGCATATTTTTATTAAATGATAGATTAATTGTTTCAATTGTGGAACATTGTTTGAGGAATTTTCCAATTTCTCTACTTTGTTCTTCATTTAAATCACACCAATCTAAATGAACATTTGTTAAAGTGTTTGATGACATTTGCAGACCTTCACAAATTTTCAAAAATCCATTTTGCATATTTTTATTCCGAGAGAGATTAATTGTTTCAATTGTGGAACAATGCTTAAGAAATTTTCCAATTTCTCTACTTTGTTCTTCATTTAAATCACAATCACATAATTCCAGATGTTTCAAAGTGTTTGATGACATTTGAAGTCCTTCACAAATATTAAAAAATCCATTTTGCATGTTTTTATTCAGTGAAAGCTTGATTGTTTCAATTGCACAACAATATTTCAGCAAATTTCCAAATTCTAAGCTTTGTTCTTTATTTAAATCACAACGACATAATTCCATATATTTCAAAGTCTTTGATGACATTTGAAGACCTTCACAAATATTCAAAAATCCATTTCCCATATTATTATTCCATGATAGATGAATTGTTTCAATTATGAAACAATGTTTCATAATCTTTCCAATCTCTATACTTTGTTCTTCATTCAACTCACACCAATCTAAATGAACATTCTTTAAAGTGTTTAATGACATTTGCAGACCTTCACAAATATTCAGAAATCCATTTCCCATACTAATATTCAGTGATAGATTGATTGTTTTTATGGTGGAGCAATGTTTCAGCAAATTTCCAAATTCTCTACTTTGCTCTTCATTTAAATTACAATCATATATTTTTAGATATTGCAAATTTTTTAATAAGAGTCCTTGACAAATATTTAAAAATCCATTCCTCATATTTTTATTCAAAGATAGATGTTGGAGTTTACTTATATTTTCATTTTGTTTTGGATTTTTTGCCTGCATTAAGGACAACAAGGTTCCTGATTTTCCTTTTATAATTGTTGATTACATCCAAAATAGTAAGTTTGTTGACAATGTAGGATTCTTGGACCTTTTCCCACAAGAATTTCAAGCAAATTTAATATTGAAGGTGTTTTTCAATACTAATATTTTGCTTGGCGGCCATTTTGTAACCGTAGTTTTTTTTATTTACTTCCATTTTTTATATTTAGATCTATTTTAGTTCAGTGGAATTACATTTATACGAAATTTATAGTCAATTTTTATCAAATATGTGAACAATTTTATGATTAAGAGTTGCGAATTTTTTACAAATAATGGAATAATATAAAAGGGTAATGCTAAAACAAGGACTACACTGGTACCTGTAAAGAATGTGAAATATATATTAAAAATTGACATGAACAGTTGCCCTCCATACTGAAAAAATAATATGACACATGGATTTTTGAATATTTATAAACAACTTAATAGTTTATCAAAAACCCTAAGAAAACTAGATTCAAGAGATTGCTAAAGAATTATTCCATAATAGAAACAGTAGACCTATCATACAATAAAAGAATTTGAAATGGTTATTTAAATATTTGTTAAGGATTTCAATAGTCAAAATATGTCCAACAGAAAATTATAGATGAAATTCAATGCAGGTGTGCTTTCTTGTATTGTAATTGTAGAAATATCTGGTTCATCACAACAGAGGTAGACCTTTCCAATCATTTACTAATTTACCAAAGTATTCAAACAAATAAAACTTTTGAAGTTTGTCAACAAATAGTCGTAATAAATGTACTTTCTGTCGAAATTCATCAACAAAATACAGTATTTCAGTCAAAGAATATATTCTGAGTAAAATGAGATACTAGTTGTAAACAAACAAGTTAAAATAACAAATAGATGGTTAGAAAAGTGAACTTTTAACTGTTAATTTTGTGGGGTTAATACACTATTTTAAGGGTTCATAATTTTCTAATTTGAACGTTCACAAAAACAAAGGTAACATTCGATGACAATGAAAAGTTCTAAATATGGTCATTCTTTTATTGTTTTCTTCTTCTAAAAAATAGTTGAAGGTTGGAGAGTTACATAAGATGCAAACAATTTTATCTATGACAAGTCAAAGAAGGAAGAAAACATGGGTTTAATTGTAATGTTTATAATATGACAATTACAGATACAAATATGCCAAATTATATGCGAGAAATAGACACATAGCTATCAAAACTGGTATACTTTTACTCTTGTTGTATTTCTAGGCCTATTTCTTTACTTTATAAGGTCAGGACAAAGACATTTATTTATTGATAGATTGTCTGTATGGAAAAGTAGCATAATCCTTTTGACTTTCAGTTAAAAAAGTTTTTATAAATTGGAATTTCTTTAAAATTAAATTTCTTTTCAAATGTACTCAGATTCATACTAAATGAATCTGATGGTTTTCCATATTGTCCATCCAAACATTGGACAAATGCAATGGATTTTAGAAATTTAGTATCATAGTAACTGAAGTAGGTATTGAACTTGCTGTTGTGTTGTAAAACAGTTGAATTGCCTTAAAATATATTTCTCAAAGAAGAAGACTGGTGAAACAAAATTGGCTTTTGCTTGAAGTAAAATTTTCCAAATATTACAATCTTTGTAAGTTTTATATTCTAGAATTTCAATATTATCAATAGATTTCCATGAACTTTTGCTTGTAAATTCTAGGTACAAATTATTATTTATTAGTATTCTGAAAAAGCTCCTTAATGATTGTTCCACCCCATTGGGATATGCTCGAAGAAGATTTTTAATACAGCAGAGTAATTCCCCCGATTGGCCAAATTCTTTTCCAATTCCAAAGGATTTTGCTTGAATGTACTTGTCCTGATCATTTTCAAGTCTTAGCCTCATGTTTTCAATAATACTAATTTTTTCATGACAAATATTTAGCTCACTTTTATCAATCCAATCAACATTGCAAAAGCATAAATTCTCTATGGCTGAACCAGACTGTTTTTGTACTGGGAATGAATAGATGATTGTCAGTACCCTGTAGATAATTGTTTAACATTTCACCATAATTAAGTAAGTAACAAAGGATAGAAATTGTCATAGTAACTTCATCATATTACAATTCAAGGTTCTATTCTTATCAGTTTTCCTTTTGATTTTTTTTTCAAATTTCATTGAAATTTCCAAATGTAGGTGCTCTCTTTACAGTGAGAAAATCTAAGCAATTGTCAGTGTAGACACCTTTCACACAAGCTTTTCCATCAGTTTTATAGTTTGAATTTGAAGTCCAGCATCTTCAGCATTCTGAATCATTTCCTGAAATTAATAGAATAATCTCTTATCAATTTCAATGTATATTTTTTTGGATTTAGAAAGACAGAAAATCTTAAATATATTTTTACTTTCAACTGGAATATTCCAGTTGATGCTTTAATGATTTTCGGGTAGATTCCAACCCTACTCAACAAAGAAATATATTCTTTTTTACAATTTGCAATGAAACTTTAAACCAGCCTGATTGTGCTCGCAAAGAAAAATAAAAGAAAATTTTACTTGTTCATTTTTCATTGTCTCCTGGCAAAATTACCCTCTTTTGCGCTTTGTTTTTCCTCATTCAACTCTTCTTCTCCAATCGTTTCTCTTACAACATTAATAACCTCCACTATATTTGTGTCTACATCTGGAAGAGAAACGCTTCGATATTGCAAAGACATCATACCCAATTTCAGATTGAAACCATTTTCTACCAGTTCCAGCAATAGCAAGAATAATTGGCAATCTCAATGTAATGGCTGCAAAACGAAATTCCATCTGACAATTTCTAGAGGCAACATACTCATCTGACACGCAAGCAACCATATTTTTTGATTTTTTTAAACCCTGAGCAATATCTTGGAATAAACCAGCTCTATTGACTTGTTCAATGTCCATCCAACATTTAATTCCAGCCTCTTCCAATCTATCCTTTAACAATCTTAGATCAGTTTTGCCAATTGCCTTTTCATTGAATTTTGTCCCTTTGCTTTTAGCCTTTTGAGAATTACTCCAACAATAACTTTTAAGGCATGGCGGCCATTGTGTCGATTTTGAATTGCTTTGTAAAGAATTTTTTAAATCTTTAATTTTTGAATCGAATTTCTCTATGTTTTGCATGTTGATATAGATCTATGAAAGGTGATAAAAGAGAGATTAAAGGAGAATTAGGTTAATTCTTGTATGTACATAATCCAAGCATAATATTTCAATATCTGTATGTTTTTTCCATTTATCGCTCTCCTTTTCAAAATACTTCTGTGTCCATTGTTTCTTAAAAATGAACCAGTTTTCCATATCAATCCCTCATCACCATACTGATAAAGTCTCACTTGAACTCTATTGAATAATCTGAATGGCAAATTTTCAAAGTTATACAGCATTTTGGTTTGAGACTCTACATCTTGCAAAGACTCCCTTTCTCAAACATGCTATAATACATTTTTAATTTGCCAAAGAGTTTTGAACACTTTTAAAATATACTACTCACACGTAGCTCTATATCTGGAAGGAGGCATGGAACTAAACTTGCTTTTTCATTTTTGAGGCAAAAATAGGTAACTGGCTGATAACTTTTGGAGCTTGTTGAAAAAAAGTTGCCTGCCAGAGTCAAAAATTTCACTTGAATTATGTTAAACAGTTCCATTGGTAAATGAGTTAGTGGAAGGTGTTCCAAGTTTAAACTAGTTAGTAGTAGACATTTTCCAATTGATGGACAGATTGTCTTAATTGGACACATTTTTATTTTTAAAAATTTAAGGGAAGGTGATAGCCTATCTATTTGCTTTGAAACTTTGAAATTTTTACACATATCTATTCTATGCAAATTTTCCATCTTATCAAATGGTCCTCCATCTTGTTTTTCCTCTTCTTCATGACTGCTTTTATACTTAAAAATAATCCATTGTACTAATGATTTTTGATGATTTCTAGTATTTAAAGCACTTTCAGTGTTGGACAAGAGAACTAATTCTTTTTAGGGGTGTTATAGGGCTGAACTGAAGATTAGATAGAATAGAATGGAAAGAAAGAGACAGGTGTGACAAAACTGAAGTATTAAATAATTCTAATACTCTTGAAAGAATTTCCAAAAAAGTTGAATTTGTAAAGCTAAGGCCAAAAATATTAAAAGATTACAAGATTTAAAAGAAATCTCTCCCTCTCAAAATTCAATTTCAAATTCAAATCTCTAACACACGATTTTTTAAAAAATGGTGAATTGACACAATGACACAATAAGAGATTATTCTCCTCTATTCTTTCTATACAGATATAGAAACAGGGTTAGTTTAAACCAGTGGTTTTGTAGTTTTAAAAGCTCTTTCAACAAAGATTGGCTACAAGAAAAAAAGGATCAATAGGATAAGATGGAAGAGTATAAGCATATTTTGATGTATCTTTTAGAGAATATTCCCTTCCAAGTGGATCTGTGGTACAGAAAAAAAAAATTTAGAAAATTATATATTTAAATTATCACATTTACAAACCTTTAATGAAAACTTGAGCTTTCCCAAATCCAACATTATTACTATTTAATATATCATTTACTTCTGTAAAAAATCCAGTTTCAATAAACTCATTAGAATATTTAAAACATTGCTGATATCTATTTGGTTAGAGGTTGAGAAATTTAATGAAACCGGATGTCCATTTTATTTTTATTTTTATTATATATTGTGTTGTATCTTGTCTTTTGAGTAAAATACAATCATTTAATAGAAAATCGATTTTGAAAGGTAAATTTGAATTCATTATCTATTTGTGAAGCAATAGATATCTGGTTTACCATAGATTTTAAAATTAATATCAATATACTATCCAATGCATTTAGATCCTATGCAAGAAGAAGCCCACTCATACTGCTTGTAGAAAATTGCATTTATATAGTCCAGTGCATATTCGCATTTCATTTTCTCCTTGTATTCACTTTTTGCTGTACAAGTTGCCCCATTTTCAATAGATGATACATCTGTAAAGAAGTTTGCACTTTCTGCATTTTCTGTAATATCTGCAACTCAAACAGTATGTTTAATAGTATTTTACATCTAATTGAATGACTATTAACCATCATCATAAGCATAAATCAATATTGAACATAGGCCTGTGTTATAGTTATCATTGGAAGTATTTACAAATTCATCCATTTTTTGTAATTGTTTGCCATAGTTCAATTTTGGTAGAAAACACTCAATACTTGCTTTTTGACCCAATATGACCTTGAAGTTTTGGCTGGTGTTAAAATTAAATTCAATATCTTTTACTTTGTTTTCTAAACCTAAATAGGATTGCGATATACAAAATTCAAGAATGTTGTATTTCTCTCTAAAAGTTAATGTAATCTCTTGATTGTAGCATTTAGTTCCACAACTAGTAATCCAAGAATCTAATTTCACCCAATTAGGATAAGGAACATTCTCACATTTACAGTTAAATGTTTTCCGAGTCTCTTTTACGGATTCACACCAACAGCTAGAATTCATGGACCTATTAGCACATTTTTACCAATTTTCCATCTGGAAATTGTTGCTAATTTTTAAATGTTAGTTGCAAAAAAATAAAAATGTGGTAATTTTCTAGTTGGGATACCTTACTTTCTGTATACTTTCACCCTAACAACAAATATATATAATGCACTACTCAGATGCTATCACTATGGTTCAAGTTTTACATATAGTACCCAACATTTTTTAAAAATCAGCACATACAACAAACAATATAGAAATACAAAACTGTGTTTTATCATTGCAGAAGAAATTGATATCAAGCAGCAAAGTTGAAAAATTTTAAATGTGTAAACTTTTTCATTGATCTTTTTTAGCAATTATCTTCTATTGAATGAACTAAGTTCTATAAATGTATACATGTAATATTATATTCACTGCTCTGCTTTTGAATTGACAGAAAAAAAACTTTAAGATTGTGAAAGGCAATATTTGAAAAGAAGAGAAGCTTTAAATTATTTAAACATTTGGAAAAATTTATAGTGTTCAACCTTTTATCTTAAACAAATTCTAACACTACTAATAGCCATTAAAAGCTAATCAGGTTTAAAACAAACACAAAAAGACTCATTCCTAATTCATTAATGACTCATCCAAATTCGAATTTGTAAATTGATTTTCTGTGATTCATTTAAATTGATTGTTAAATACAACTGAATCAGATTGAACAAAGTTCATTCTTGGCAAAAGATTGATCAAATTATAAAAAGATTTCATGTAATTAATTGTCTATCTTTGTATTGATTACTAACAAACAACATTAATTAAAACATTTAACAAGTCTTTCTTGTTTAATAAAGAAAATGTTGAACATGTAGAGTTTGGTGTTTAACAGAAACTGTTCATAAATGAGAATTTTAAATGAAATCAATATAAATTTTAAATTGAAATCAATATATTGCTTAACCCAACAAATTGGAAATACATTCAAATTTTCAAATTCTTTGGTTTTTTTGACCTAATTTAAATAATTTGTGAGTACTCAAGTGTCTCTTTATTAAGTTTATACAAAAAGATTAAAGCCGCTTTTATACTCAATAATTAGAATGTAATAAGTGAAAACAAGACAAAAATTGGTTGATTTTGTTAGAATATAGAGAAATTTTGAAATGCTTAAGTGTATATCTTTAATCTTAGGATGATTAGCATTATTGTCTTTAAATGATATAAAGGGTCTGTTTTCTGCTCTTGTAAATCATTTTTAATTATGGTTGGTTAAAGAAAAAAGAAAATACAAAGTTTTTTTTCTCTTTCACTGCAAGATGAATTGAACAATGAATACTGATAATAGAACCAGAAGTTCCTTTAATCTCTGGTGCAGTGACATTTCAGCCCACTTTGGGACATTTCGGCCCAAAATATTTCATTTCATGTTAGAAAAATAACAACAAACAACATGTAATTTATAATTGCAGTTTCAATTATATATATATCATTCAAAAATTTGAAATATTTTCATTTTTTCAAAAGTATTTTTACTTTTTTTTTGCAATTTCCTTTTCCTGTTGTGACAAAAAGCAGAGGGTTTATTTGTTTTCCTGTGTTTTTCACCCCAGCTTTGATAGAAATCACAGCACGATTTTGAAATATTGTTGGAAGTGTGGATTGGAGTATGGGAAAAAACATCCTTGGGAAAAAACGTCCCTGGGAAAAAACGTCCCTGGGAAAAAACATCCCAGGGTGGGAAAAAACGTCCCAGTGTGGGAAAAAACGTCCCAAGGTTAGGAAAAATGTCCCAAGGTTGGGAAAAACAAGTAGTGGGAAAAGATATTTGAATTTTAAAAAAGATTGCTCTATTTTGGGAACCAATGGCAATATACTGAGAATATAATAATTAATAATGAATATATGTTTATTAAAATGTATTAAAAATGAAAAAAGCTAAGAATGTTATACAAAGTTTAAAAGTTACTAGAATAAAGTATAAAGTACGTTAAGACACTGAGAATTATTTTGAATAGATTAATGCAATCTTCTGCAAGAGGACATCCCAAACAGCAAATACTTGCTTCTGCTTCTGGATGACACTTTTCTTCTGATACTTCTTTAGCCTTTTTTCTGATAGAAGTTTCTCTACAACTGGAATAAGACTTGATTCCTGTTTTAAAATATCTATGAGCATATAAAATGACCCTTTTGCAGGAGTCTTTTCATTTATTCTTCTGTGCCATCCTTCAACATCATTGTTGGTCCTGATGGCAAGACCAAATACAGACCAACAATTTGGTGTCCAAATTGAATGCTTAATCCAAGTACTTTCAATGTATTGGAAAAAATCCAAAAATTCATTTCTCTCAAAGGCCTCATCTTTTAGCATGTAGAAACTGTTTAGAATGGCTTCATCTGGAAGAAAAGGTAATGCCAAAACTTGTTTCAGCAGTCCTGCCTTCTTCTTTTCCATATTATATTGTTGTGTGTATCCCAAATTCTACAATAATTTAATAATAAGGCCAACCACTGAATTTAAATATAAGCTTACTTGAATTTTTCTGTAGACAGCTTGTGTCCAATGGAAGACACAACCTTGAATAGGAATATTAGGGTAAACTGAGTTAAGAGCACTCCCTATACCTAATTCAAAATCAACTACAAATTTGTCAGGTTGAAAACCATTTGTCAA